AGAGTCTTAACTTTGATAAAGAATATCTCTTTGGTTTTGAGACTTTAGTCTTTGCAACTTCAGGGATCTTATCTATTCACGAACAGCTTGTAACACTCCAAAGAGAAAGGAAAACTTGAAATCGCATCATATGACCCCTTTAAAAATCATCAAATGTGTTCTACTGAAGAAACAAAGTCACCTACATCTTGGATGCCCTGGGGGTAAGCAGATAAACATCAAATTTAAATTTTTGGGTGAACTATCGCTTTAAATAGCAGGAAATATCTAGACATATGCACTTTTCCCATACTTCCATTTGAATGACAGTTCCAGCAGACTGCACCATATTACTCAGAACTCATTATACAGATTGAGATGGTCTGAGCGCTAACTATTTGACAATTTTTATTTAGTAACACTGTACACAATGATTTGGAGCTTTGTGTGACCCTCTGAAAGCTGAGGAGGATCACCAGGAGAGAGGTGGGGAATCGTGGAGAATGAATGCCAGCTCTTGCACTCTGGACTGAACCCAGCAGGAAATCAGTGCTGGGGAGTGAGTCCAAAACCAAATAAAGAGACCAGATGAGCTTTTGTGGAATTACCTGCACTCATTCACCTTGGTGATGGACACACAGACCTCCACTGCCATTTCAAAGACAAATTTAAACTTTTTATAACCTTTACTTACTATAAACATTACAGATAAAATTATGTAATTTTACATTGACATTGTCATTTCATCATACATTTTTTTTACTTGTATTATAATAAGTACCCTTTACATTATTGTTCAATTTGTTATCATTAGTTAATTCATTAGACAGTGAACTAACAATGCACAACATCACTGTACAGCTTTAAATGTTAAAAATATATTAGTGTATGTAGATTACAGAATAAATTCTGTAAAGTTATTGTAAAGGCAAGCATTACTATTACTATTGAACTACTGTACACTCTCAGAAAAAAGGTACAAAAGTTGTCACTGGTGTACTACTAATATGTACCACTTGGGAACTAATATGTACACTTTTTGTGTACCTTTAAGGTAAAAATATGCTCCTTTAGGGGTAAATAGGGTAAAAATGGACTGTGTTATGATGTCTTTTTGCACTTTTTGAAGCATGAACATTTTGGTTGCGTGGCTTTCAATGGATGAACAAAAACGATAAGTGTGTGTGGAAGTCTTATGGGTTTGGAATGACAGGAATGGAACCAACTGATGAAGGTGAGGAAATAACAGCAACATGTTCATTTTGGGGTAAACTATCCCTTTAAACTATTCTTCCGGCCTGTGCTATAGAGGTCATTTATACCACAAGTTGTGCAGCTTGTTGAGAGGAAGTGTGCTATTGCATTGAATTTATGATTTTTTTTTCATTGCAGCTGATAAAACAGGTGAAAAATCCCACCACTTGCATTAAATGAGGAGGGATCAAAATAGAAAACACCCTAGCAACAGCATAGCACAGTGCTAAAAGCCTCTCAGAACACTTTAGCCACAGCATAGTAATGCCCTAAAGACAATGTTTCATGATAAAAATAAAAATACCAAATAATAGTGTATTATAGTGAATGTTATAGATGATATACAAGAACCATATAGTGACAATGTTACTTTAGAAGTACATTCCCAGCCCTTGCTATAGATGAGTGGTGCTTCCGTGACTTTCTGTCATTAGTGTCACATATGGTCATTAGTCCTTATGAGGAGGCTGTCACCGGTCTGGAGGACAGGCCTGGGGTGGGGCCACATCTGTGTGGCCTGTCCTTGGCCCAGTTCGCTGCTGCTCCCCACCCTGGTCCCAGGCAATCAGAATGACCTCATAGCACCTTGGGCCAGCAATTTAACAAGCACACACTCTCTCTCTCCAAAATGGAGGATAATTAAAGCACTGGTGTCATACACTCATCCTGAGGCAATGTGTGCTCACAGCCCAGGACAGACTCTCACTAACATACTCCGATCGACAGATCACACTGCGATTGGTCGCAGGCACCAGCACCTGCGGCTCTCATTGGCGAGTGATCTGCTGTGAAGCTGACATTGAGGAACCCTTACCCTCCCGCTCTCCCTAATTAGCTGTTCAAAGGCTTAAAAAAGAGCACTGAGGCCAAGCACACTCTCCCTTAAACCCAAGTTTAATGCATGTGAGACAATGTAGGTTCGAATTGTCCTTACCTGTATGCGTTTGTCCTCAGGATTTGTCTTACAAGGACCGTCACTGGCATGATGACTGCTTCCACTGCTTCAAATGTCACCGTTCCTTGGTGGACAAGCCGTTCTCCACCAAAGATGAGCAGCTACTATGTACTGAGTGTTACTCCAATGAGTATTCCTCGAAATGTTTTGAGTGCAAGAAGACAATCATGCCAGGTAAGTGAAACATTTGCTTAATCTGTTCTTCACACATTCACTTCAGAAACCTGAATGATACATTAATGTAAGGTTTATCACAATGACACAGTTGTAGTGTTGGACAGCAGCTAATGACATAATAGCAATAATTAACTTTACTATAGGAGAGCTGAGAAACTGAATGAATCCATTTAAAGAAATAGTTCACCAAAAAAAGGGAAGTCATTTACTTACTTTTGTCATCACTTACGCACCCTCATGCCATTCCAAACCCATAAGACTTTTATTCATCTTCGAAACACAAATTGAGATATTTTTAATGAAACCTGAGAGATTTCTGTTTCTTCATTGAATGTCCATTCCACCAAAACTTTGGCTCTTCAAAATGTTCATAAAGACATTGTAAAATTCATATTGAATGGTTTAGTCCAAATCTTCTGAAGAGAAACAATCACATTTTATGATAAACAGCTTTAATATAGGCTTTTATTCCCATATACACATTAATCAACACTCATCGAGCACAACAAACATGATCAGTGGCAGCTCAACTGTTGTGCTTGACGTGCAAGAACAAACCTTATTGGTTATTGCAGAGGCTCAAACATGCTTGGAATGAGCAAAGCTCATTGGATATCTTTCACAATGTCTTTAACTTTAAGTTTCAAAGTTTTGGTGGAATGGACTTTCTTTCAATGGAGGGACAGTTGGGTGCATGTTAGTGAGAAACGATTTGCATTTACAATTTGCATGTACAGTACAAAATAGCATAGTATTGTACTATTATGATAGACTATATCACGATTAAATTTACAGCCCTTCATAAAATTAATAAACATATAAAAGCAAAAACACACTTCATCATTTTGTAGGTGTAGAGTTAAAAACCATGTTGAATTTAATGCAGAAAAGGTAAATACAAACTTTCCCAGTAACTGAATGTCGAATTAAAATTTTTGGGTAAACTAACCCTTTAATAAATAGGCTATAATCAATCATCTCTATTATCCAGCCAAGTAATGGGATATTTGTTTGCCTGTCTGCATTTTTCTATATTTCTCTCAGGCTCCAGGAAGATGGAGCACAAGGGGAACAGCTGGCATGAGACCTGCTTTACCTGCCAGCGCTGTCAGCAGCCTATTGGAACCAAGAGCTTCATTCCTAAGGACAATAATAACTACTGCGTGCCCTGCTATGAGAAGCAATTTGCACTGCAGTGTGTACACTGCAAGAAGGTACACTCTAAAAAATGCTGGGTTAAATACAACCCAGTGCTGGGTAAATATGGACTAACCCAACTGTTGGGTTAAAAAGTTAATTTAAAAATGCAATTGCTGGGTTTGTCCCTATTTTACCCAGCACTGGGTTGTATTTAACCCAGCATTTTTTAGAGTGTAAGAACAGCTGGAATGCAACATTTTGCTTTGAAGAAAAACATATTATATGACATCACACCTTTATCATTTCTTCTCAGCCAGTCACCACTGGGGGTGTGACCTACCATGACCAGCCATGGCATAAGGACTGCTTCTTGTGTACTGGCTGTAAGGAGCAGCTGTCTGGCCAGCGCTTCACCTCTCGTGATGACTTTCCCTATTGCCTCAACTGCTTCTGCAATTTGTATGCCAAGAAGTGTGCTGAATGCACAACCCCTATTAGTGGTATGAGCAACCAACACATTTACATCTCCTTATCTTTGGAAGGTGCTTATCAGGCCAGTATAAACACAATTAATATCTTTTTAAATTAAGTTGTGATGAAAGAGAATAGTGACAGATCCTTTCCTTCTGTATTGTGACGTATATCTGAGTGAAACAGATTATCAAAAAAGATAAAAATGTTGGGCAGGGATTTGTTTTTTATCCGTCAGTTGTTGATTGAATCCAAGACTTAATTTCTTTATTACAAAAAACATTATTATTATTATTATTGTTATTAGCATTATTACTATTTATTTATTTATTTTTTTTGGCCACTTTTTTCAGTGAATGTGAATCAGGATTGGGACTATAAAACTCAAAACTGACATAAAAGCACTATGAAGTTATTATAAAAGAAGTCCGTATGAAACTTTGTGCTATATTTCTGGTGTTCTGAAGCCATACAATTGTGATCATGTAAAAATCAGATAAAAATTGTCTATCACTTCTATCACTTTTATGATATTTCTATTGTGCTTTTTGTCATTTTAGAGCTTTTGACAGCCTAATTCTAATTAATGGTTATTACATTGAAAAAAAAATCCAAGATATTTTTTTCAAAATTCTATTTATTTATTTATTTTTTTGGCCACTTTTTTCAGTGAATGTGAATCAGGATTGGGACTATAAAACTCAAAACTGACATAAAAGCACTATGAAGTTATTATAAAAGAAGTCCGTATGAAACTTTGTGCTATATTTCTGGTGTTCTGAAGCCATACAATTGTGATCATGTAAAAATCAGATAAAAATTGTCTATCACTTCTATCACTTTTATGATATTTCTATTGTGCTTTTTGTCATTTTAGAGCTTTTGACAGCCTAATTCTAATTAATGGTTATTACATTGAAAAAAAAATCCAAGATATTTTTTTCAAAATTCACCTTTTGTGTATCATGAAAAAAATAGATAGTCCTACAGGTTTGGAATGACATAAGGTTGAGGGAAAAAAATTATAGGATTATTTTGGTGTTGAAATTGTGCCTTTCTGACCTCAGGACCTGTATGAGTCTCACAGCAATCTTCTTGTCCACACTTTAGCAAATAATAATCATATTTCCCATGATATTATTGCTATAGTGATCATGAGCTTTGTTATTTGTTATATTCTTTGCAGGTCTGGGAGGCACCAAATACATCTCCTTTGAAGAGAGACAGTGGCACAATGACTGCTTTAACTGCAAGAAGTGTTTGGTGTCCCTGGTGGGCCGTGGCTTCCTGACGGAGAGAGATGACATCCTGTGTCCTGACTGTGGCAAAGACATCTGATCAGACAGCATAGCACTGCAATTCCTAACATTTTATTATATTAAATAACATTTATTATTAGAGTTAAATAGCAATCAAAGCTTTTAAAGAGGGTAATATATTTGTCTAATAAAAGCTTTCTTTAGATAATTAACTTTAAAGGGGCCTGTGCATGCCAAGGCCTATTATTATAATATTGTGTCATGTTTTTGTGGTCAGGGTTTAAACTATAGCCAAACCAAAAGAAACATATGTAGTGTGAAAATTATTATTTTCATTTTAAATATAGAACCATAAGGTACAATGAATGTTACATTTTATAGTATAATTGCCTATTTTACCTTTTTTTTTGTGACTAACATTTGCTTTTGACTCCTCAATCATTATTTGTCATTTATAGTCTGTGTGAAGAATTTGCTGTCGCTCATAATAAACTTCTGAATGAAAAAGGCTCAGTACTGCTTATAGGAGATCACTATAATAAAAAAATGACTTGCATTCAATGCATTTACTCTAAATATGCCTCAGCTGTTCTTTCTTATCTTTCAGTGAAATCTAAAACAGCATGTCATCATGCATCTGTCTCTGTAGCTTATTAAAAGCAATTTCTGTCAGGACCACTATCATCAAAGATGATTGACAATTAGCATACAGTTTGGACTGGCGGTATGGTTCTGTTCTGGGCAAGAACTCCCTGTGCTTCCATGCAGCCTAGCATGGCTGAGAGCAGGGAGAGCTGCAATAGGGGGTTATTCAGGGTAAACAGAACAGGTTCAGGGTAAACAGAACAGAACTAACAAATGTATTGCAGATATTGTTAAAGTTCAATCATTTTATGTACACATTTTAGAATTAGTCTGATTCAAGGAGAATCAGAAGACTGAATCCCGACTGACAGAGGAGGAGTTGGGGATGGAGGAGGGTAATTAGCTATTGAGCAATGCGAAAACTGCTGATTATACTGAGGGACCTTATATATGAATGCTTAGATAGGTGTGTATTCCCATAGGTTGATGGGGATCAGCTGAGAGTCAGCTGATGCGAGCTTGACTAACGTGACCTGCCAGAACTAACGCTATGTTTGATTTATGTTTATTCAACTCAAATCTTACTAGGGGTTAATTTTATTCTATGGGAAAAAAATCATAGATCATATTAATTAGTAATATTATTATAATGTGTATTTATTTCCCAGACCCTGGCAATACTTGCTAGTATTGATGCCTATTCTGACCTGTTCTGGCCTATTCCTTATAATAATGAGATTACTTTGGCTGGTGAAATTATTAAGATATGTTTCCACCCTTACCCATATATTATTATTATTATTATTTAACAGTTTTGTGATTAGCCTTGTTTAAACAAACAAATAAATAAACAATTTAGCAGTAATGTACGACGATGTTGTCGTCAGATGTTGGATCATAACGTTAGATCCTCATGAACCGTTAAAACTGGGTAACTGGGGAAGAAATTGGCTTATGACTCCCTCTTGTGGTAAAATGTGTTATATGCAGAAATTCAAGTTGTACGATTCCTCAATCGCGTAAACTCACGCCTTTGTAGCTGTTGTCCGTAGTGACTTGTTACCAAAACAACAACAACAACAACAAAAATTCCCTTGGCTGATGTACGATTGTATGTATATTATGTTGTAATATAAAATGTGCATCCAAAAACCGTAAATCAATAATAATAATAATAATAATATTTGGAAAACCTGAAGAAGCCCATAACTCGAAAATGCTGACGTACTTATAGGACTACAAACGTACAAATCTAACATTCCGACGAAGCTCTATGAGTAATTTTTTTAAGATTTTTAAAGATGAAAGATTTTTCTTTTTTCAGTTTTAACGACATTAATGCTAAAACTACATTTATTATAAATGCTTTCAAATAAGAAAGCTAGAGCCCACCCTCATCACGTGGCCGGATGTATTTCGGCGGAGAAACAGGAAGCGTTACCGCAGGGAGAGAGAGCGAGAGAGGGAGGTGGAGTGGGGCGCATGAATGAAACGGGCAGGCCGTGAAACGCTGCCATCTCTCAAATCAGGACAGCACTGACCACGGCTGGGGTACGATATGCGCTCGGCTTTCTTTAACATCACCTGCGCTCTCTGCATGCCGCAACACACAGACATAAACACTATGAGACACGTAGGCTGTCTAAAACCTAGCGAACTGTCGACCAGCACAGCTTTTATGGCATAATAGGTGCATATTCGAAAACCCAAAAATGATTTTTAGGCACCTCAACTAGGTATTGAAATACAGCCATAGACTCTCATGATCACCCGTAATCAAATCACTTCTGTCTGTCGTTCATATAAATGCTCATACTGGGCTTGTGGACGTGAAGCAGGTACTGGTGCTTAAAAGAGGAATGAAATGATATGGTTTTGCTAGCGTAGTCTGGCGACTGAGTTGACAGAAATTTACCTCGCAAACAACTTTCTATTACTAAAATATCCTTTTGCGTTTTGTATTTAAAGTTGATGGGACAGATTTGTAATGCACCTGTGTAATACAAACCACTGACAGGCACCTGTTTTTATGCTTGACTGTCAGAGAGCTGTGATTTATTGCTTTAGAATATGCTGTTATGATAAATTATACCAATAAGTGACATTAATAAGCCCTTTTTGCGTTTCTGTTTACAATATTGCTCATATTTGTTGTCAGTGCAAGTCTAAATGAAGGTTTTGTTTCTGTTTTCTCTCTCTTGCCACATCTTGGCAAAAACAGAAACTAAATCTTTAGTTTAGACTTACACTAACAACAAATGTGAAGAGACACGTATAAAGACATCATGTTAATAACAAAAGCTGTGATAATAATAGCAAAACGTTTAATTTAGACTTGTACAGCAAGACAGAAAAGGAAATATTCATTATATTGTTTGCCCTAATAATGTCTATATTATTTAAATTTTTATTAATGTCTTTATAATATCCTTTGTAGCACAGTTTTGCACACATTTGTTGCCAGTCTAAACTGAAGGTTTTGTTTCCATTTCTCTGTCTTGCCACATCTACAGCAAGAGAGAGAAAACGGAAACAAAACCTTCAATTTAGACTTGCCCTGACAACAAATATAATCAATATTATAGAGCATTTATTATTATTATTATTGTTATAAACCTTTAGTTTAGACTTGTACAGCAATACTGTGTACAGCAATAATATTGTCTTTTTAATGTGTATAATATTTTGTTATTTATTATTATTATTATTAGTAGTAGTAGTAGTATTATTAATGAAATTGTGTCTTTATAATATTCTTTATTATATAGCTCATACTTGTCAGTACAAGTCTAAACTTAGACTTTGACTTTGTCTAAACTTGGTCTTTTTCTCTCTCTCTCTCTGTCTCTGTAGATGTGGGCGGCATTATGAGCGTGAAAGCTTTTGAGCTGGTTCCCGCCGTGGAGCGGGAACAAGTGATGGGCGAAAAGCTGCGGATAAACATCGAATGCATCGAGTGCTGCGGCGTACATCTGTACCTTGGCACCAATGACTGCTTCATCCATCACTTCCTACTAGAGGAGCGCACTACATCCAAAGGTAAGCTGGCCTACAATGCCCAGAAGCTCCTCCACAAATACCTGGGCCTGAAGAAGCCAGTGGCAGAGCTGAAGGCTGCCTCTGCTTTAGAACGTCTAATCGTCCTCTGTGACTCAACCATCACTGTTGTGGACATGGTTACTCTGGAGCCTTTGCCCACCGGGGGCACAAAGCTCAAAGGTGTGACTGCGTTTTGCATCAATGAGAATCCAGTGAAGGGGGACGCGTTCTGTGTGGAAATGGCAGTGGTTTTGGCACGCAGACGGGCCGTCCAGATCTGTACGGTCCATGAGGACAGAGTGCAGATGTTAAAGGAAGTGACCACACCAGAGCAGCCCTGTGCCCTGAGCCTGGACGGATACAATATCTGTCTAGCTCTGTCCACGCAGTATATGATTCTCAACTACAGCACAGGAGCCTCTCAGGACCTGTTCCCTTACGACTGTGAAGAAAGGAAACCCATTGTTAAGAGGATTGGCCGGGAAGAGTTTCTCCTGGCTGCTCCAGGCGGGCTTGGTGAGTTAAATGACCAAAAATGGCATTGATCAGTACGTGCACATTTACATTTTTTTCTGTTTATTCACATTTTAACATGCAGTAAGCTTGCGCCAGCATGAGGTTTTTATTTTCCTTGAAACATCTGAGTCATCAAATGATTTTCAGAGGACCTTCAGCAAATTTGGTGGGTTTCAGTCAGATCTGTGGCTGAATATTTAGATTGGATTTTATTTCTTTGCTGTCATAAGTGTTATGGTTTAGGAGATATTAATATAAATGAAAAATATGCACTTGGATAAATATTAAGTTTCATTCTGAAATACGTTTATAGTAAAAAATAAAAATAGATTTTGCTGTCAATAGAGTGCTGCAGTGATGACTTTTGTTGTAGGAAGCTTGATTCTTACCAGTTTTGTTCATCATGATTATCTTTACAAATAAACACAACTTTAATGAGTTTTTAAACCTAATAACAATCACTTGAAGTAAAAAGCTAAACGTAAGCTGTAAACGAACTACACTACGGTTGCATGACTAACATCACCACCATTAAGCTTCCGACAACTCTTTAAGTCTCTATTTCAAATAAAGAAAGAAAGAAAGAAAGATACATTTTCCCAGAAAGTTGAGTTAGAATCGTTTGCAAGAGCGTGATTCGTGAGTAGATGAGTTTACCTGTTTTGTGTGATGTTACCCCCGTTTAGCCACTTGTTAGCAACCAGCTTTTTCAACACAAGTAAAATATTTTAAAGGGGTCATCGGATGCCCATTTTCCACAAGTTGATATGATTCTTTAGGGTCTTAATGAAAAGTCTATAACATACATTCGTTAAAATTTCTCAATGGTATTGTAAAAAAACACCCTTTTTACCCTGTCAAAATCAGAATCGAAATCATGCTGTTCTAATCCATGTTGCTTTAAATGCTAATGAGCTCTGCTCACCCCGCCCCTCTCTTCCGTGGGGTGACGACCAGACTGTAAACTTCAGCCGCGAAACTGGCTAACTAGCACATATTAGGAAAGGCGATTTGCAAAGATTCATAAAAAACCCTTATACTCACTTCTTCTGTAGATGAAGCTGGATCATGAATGATTCACGCGAACTTAAACGCAATTAGGCAGATCAGGATCGGCGCATTCCCTTCAAAAACGAAAGTAACGTCTTCAGCGGCTCAGATGTCGGGAGTAAATGACGACTGCTATGTTCATTATTACATCCAACAACAAAACATCTCAATCGCTTAGGAGACATTCTTGTCTTCCCCTGAGTCGACACAATGGCGTACAGCTCAAGCTCACTCAGGGCGGGTCTAAGGTAAGACGGCCTTGTCAATCAACTATCGTGGGAGGGGCCTGTGCAGAACTATGTCATTCCCTGCAAGAGATGCAAGCCAATATTACTTTTTTTTCCCCCTTTTGTACTTTGGAATATAGTGTTTGAGGTCTGAGCGAGAAAACCTTATTCGCACTAGTGCATTTGAGAAGGAAATACTTCTTCATTTGTCCCTGAGGACTCTGCATCATGAATTGTTTTCTATGGTGAATGCATCTATTATTTGTTTGTTTGTCATTTTTATTATAATTTTAGCTGCACCCCACCTGAGATAAGAATCTGTCTTCTCGGCTGTGACTGTCGTCATGGCGATCGTTCGAGATGAGTCATGCATCTCTCTGTATCTTTATCTCTCAGGGATGTTTGCTAACGCAGAGGGCATATCTCAGCGTGCTCCGGTCAGCTGGTCAGAGAGCGTGATTGCGGCGGCTGTGTGTTTCCCATATGTGGTCGCACTGGATGAAGGCTTTGTGACAGTTCACAGCATGTTGGACCAGCAGCTCAAACAGACTCTGTCATTCAGAGATGGACACCTTCTACAGGATTTTGAAGGTAGGAGTGATGTCCCATACATGTATTTCACCCTTACACTCTATTAATTGTTGGTACTGGTTACATTTAGGTACAGTGTACCTATTTGGTATGTAGTCAGTCATCAAAATGTGTCTTTCCAGCATTCCAGAGTCAGAAAAGATTTACTGACAATTAGACTGGACTAGGGCTGCACGATAAATCGCATGCGATATTTAACGCGCATCTTATCAGTAAAGCCGGTTCTGTAATCAGCGGTAAATCTCCATCACCTGTGGGCTTTCACATTGAGCAGCATTAACTACACAGAGCCGTTGTTCACTGACGAGTTGCGCAAAACCACGTCCATATTCACGCGATTTTTTGCGCTGCTCGTCAGTGAACAACGGCTCTGTGTAGTTAATGCTGCTCAATGTGAAAGCCCACAGGTGATGGAGATTTACCGCTGATTACAGAACCGGCTTTACTGATAAGATGCGCGTTAAATATCGCATGCGATTTATCGTGCAGCCCTAGACTGGACCTTTAGTAGAAACATAAACTATTTATAGACTATTTATAGCATATTCACATTCACCGTCAAGAAAGTCATGCTCTCTTCATTCTTTGGGGTGAAAAGTGTGACTTCTCTCTGATGTATGCAGAACATTTCCAATCAGTTATTTAGTCTGCGAGTTGGGTTTCAGCTCAGATTTTCAGTGTGGATAAATATGATGCTTTGAGGTACCCATAGTTAGAGGTGTTCATTACCTAAAAAATGTAAAACCAATATCCAACTTTCAATATCTAACATTCAATGTAATGGTGGCTGGCTAGACATCTTACCTGTCAAGCAAGAAAAAGGTAATTTCTGTTTTTAAATCCTTTGTTGTTGCCATCTCTGAAACGCAGTCCAATGTTAATACAAATTGTATTACGGACTCTGTGACTTTAACTTTTTGCTTGTAAACTCTTCTCTGAAAGAGGTTTCTTTGTTTTAACAACAGATGGTTCCTCAGCCTTTTTGAAAGGTCCATGGTGTGAATAATGTTGCTCATTAGTTATAGCACAATCTGTCAGAATTAACAAACCGGCAACCTCACCGCATACACGCTTTACCAAAAACATCTTCCGTACTGCATGTTTAAGTATATTTCGCAAAACAAAATAACAATTCACACAAATTATACTGTTCCAAGAAATGTCATTTTGCTTCAATTAAAAAAACAAACAAAAAAATAACAATAAGCAATATTTATGGTAACTTATAGTTAAAAAAATAAAAAAAACCTTTTGCCGTGGACATGTAAACTGAGCAGAGCTAAATATCTGTGCCACAGCCTTTTCTTTTTTTTAAATACACATTCACCTAACACTTTCACAGATTACAGTAAAACTACCAAATGTCGAGTCATACTGTTTTTGTTTATTTTTTATTGCTTCAGTCAAAATTGTTAGCAAATTAGACTGTTATTCTCAATTCCAGGTGTCATCGAACTGAATCAGTCAGACAGCTCACATGATTGGCTCATTTGTTGAATCGCAGGTTATGATGCCATTGCTAAAAATGAGCTTAGAACTGCTAATGTGTTGTGTTGTTTTTATAAGCAATTTTAAAGATGCAAATTTGGAATGTTAGTAAAATCTAAACCATTCTGACTGTTTGTTTATATGATAACATGTATTTAAGGATAGATATCCACAACAGTGTTTCAGAAGAAAATGGTCAGAAACAAAATCCATTAGGAAACACTGTAAAGAAACAGCAGAAATGGCACTGATTTGAACATACACACACACACACACACACACACACTATATGTATATGTGTGTATATACAGTGTGTGTATATATATATATATATATATATATA